ATATTTATATATCAAATTTATGAACAGTCAAAAAAGTCTATGATTTATTACCTGACATCATCACGACAATAGGTTCGATGACAGAATAACCTCAATTTATCAACGAATAACATCAATCATCATCACGATTTTTGGGGTCCTGGGGGTGCCTCCAGAGTGCAGCAGCTACTCCTGGAGAGATAAACAAAATAACAGCCAGGTGGTGGGTAGAATTTGTAATTTATGAAAAGTCTTCGCCAGGGAGAATTCCCCCAGTGATGGGAAAAGAATTGGTGTACCTAGTTTTCTGGCGTGTGCTGTCAGTTTTCATCGTTCAGACCAGTGATGTTCCTGACGAGTACTGGCAATCCCTGGAAGTCGCTCACAAGCTCGCCTTTGGATATGGTCACCTCACGTGGGAATGGCATCACAACATCAGGAGCTACATTTATCCCTTTTTTATTTCGATTTTGTACAGAATTCTCGCGGCCCTTGGAATGGATTCTCCAGGTGCTCTGACCCATGCACCGAGAGTACTGCATGCACTGCTCAGCGCTTTCGCTGATTATAGGTGAAATTATGACGATTTTTTAAATAATTTTGGGTAGGAATAATGAAATGAATCAGGAAATTCATTGAGAGACGAGGGGAAATAATCGATCGTAAGAATCCATTCGATATTTCTGTTTTTCCAGAATTGTATTACACTGATAAAAAAATGTTGAATTCTCCTATAAGAAATTTCACGATCCGAATTAAAAAATGAACAATTCCAGTTAAATGGCATATTATTTGAAAATATTTAGAAATCGAAAAAGTAAAAAAATGACAGTATGATTAAAAGAAAAATTTGAATGACAAAAAAACACTGGGACAGTCGCCAACATTTTTTGTTGACAAAAATTACTGGGAATAAAATAAAACCGTTTTTCTATAATTCTATAATCCTGAAGATTGATAGAAAAAATGATACCAAATTTTTTGAGTCTTCTGCAATTTCCCGTAAATATCTTCTGATATTAATAGTATTATTAATTATAGTTATATTATTTTGTATCTTCTAATATTAATATTATCTTTCAAATCTACTAGTTCCAGAGGTACTCCAGTCTCCGTCCATTTAATAGGTCCATCGAAAAATGAAAACTCGCTTTTTTAATCCTATAATCCCTCTCCAATATCTTTCGATTTGAAATCCTTTAAATCCTAGTTCAATACATCTTATCATCTTATCAATTATATTCTGCAAATATCTCCCTATTCAATAGGTTTCAGAATTTATTTCGAGGATCTTTTTCCACCTCTACCCTTACAGATTCTACTCCTGGACGAGAAGTACATGGTCGACGTTTGTCCTGTCCTTGAACTGGTTCTGGTGCTACAACGCAACCCGCACCCTGACGAATACCTTGGAAACAGCCCTCACGACGATAGCCCTCACAATATTCCCCTGGGATCGCAATGTGAGCTCAAAAACCGGAGAAACTAATTACCTCTGGATCGTGGGTTTCACCTGTGCAATCAGACCGACGATGGCGATCACCTGGATGCCCCTGTGCACGTACCACATCTTGACGACCTCAAGACATCCCCTAAAAACTCTCCTCCAGTACGCAATCGTCGCCCTGA